GCGACAGAGACTGTATGACTGGCCAAGCTGAAAATATTTATTAACAGGCTCTTTACAGAAATAAAACTGCAGATTACTAAACTAAAGGCTAATGCCAAACCCTGTTTAAAATATAAAGTCCCTTGATACTTGAAATGTGATTTGAATACATAAAATCAATCAAATATCTTTCCACAAGTCACCCCCAACTCTACATTCTCAACCACTTCCAGAGACTGATTCGATATGAGGTGTCTTTACAAAGTCCCTTCCTAGTGATACAATAAGGATCAGGTCTTATTCTTTTTATAATCTCCACAATTTTTATAGAGTGCCCAGGTCATAACAGTTTCTCAATAAAATTTAATCAAGTTAAATCTGAATCATAAATAGAGCAAGCATTATACATTAAGGACAGACACAGTTCCTTCATTCCAAAGACCTATTGATGACATACCATTGATAAATAAAATCAAAGAGGAGAGCTACTTGGAAGTGAATTAATTTGCTCTTAATTAGTTACACATACATTTATTATATGCCAACTATACAATTATTTAATGCCTTTGAAGCTAAGATAAGTGACATAATATAGAATTACATTCATTCATTTGACAAGAATTCACCTAATACCTGCTCTGGGTCAAGATGGGGGTAAGGGTTGGGGATTCAGAGTAGATCATATATGCTTTCTGCTCTCAAAGATCTTGTAGTCTAGTTAAAGAGGCTGAAGGTCAGCAGGTAATCTCTGTACAGGGAGAAAAACACAATGTCAAAGTGGCACATGAAGAATGTGGGTGGCTGGGAGATGGGCAGGATTCTTGGGAGTACCATCTTTGTATACTCCCTCCCACAGTTTACTCTCTCCAGGAAACTTGGATGAACCAAGGTACACTCATGAGTTTCTCACAACCTTCAGGTGGATTCTATCCAATGATCATGCTAACCATTTTATAGAGATTGCCTAATGCAATCCTCATAAGTAAAGCCAATTTACTTGTTCCAGGTCAATGTTTAGAAAATGGAAGATTCCAGTCTAAGCCAACTATAAATTAAAGCCTATGCACATCATCCTACACTCTATACAGAGTACATGCATGCTAGAGAGAACTGAGAAGTCTAAAGTTTGTGGCCTTCAGAGAGTGTACTAAATGGTTTTGTACCTACTCAATGGACACAGATTCCAGAAGAAACATTCAACATTGACAAAAAGAAAGGGTAGGACATAAACTTTTGGTTCATGTTAAATAAGTCAATAATCAAGGGAAGAGGAAGAAAGCATTGCAAAGATCAGCAATAACTCCCAGCTAGTTTCTGGGTGCGCAAAAGGAAGCTGCAGTCACCTCTGGGTAGTGATTCTGGATTCTGTCCAGGATATTAATTAAGCCCTAACCACTGGGACTCAGGAAACTTGCTATCAATTAATGGTCAGCTGGGATACTGTAGAGACTGGCCTTCCTCCAGAAGGTCATTGTTTTAGCCAGGACATGTCAGGACATGTCTGTCAAAGGTCATGGTAGGCATTGGGGCAGATGAATTGAAATACAAATATGTACTTTTTTAAAAGTGAAAATTTTTATATGTGCTGAACTTCCTAAGTTATATCGTCGACATAAGCATTTCCACATTAGCTTGATTGTTAAAATTATCCCCTTCAACTTTTTACTCCTTGGCTATACTAAATGTGGTGTAAAAGCAATAAGCATATGGAAAAATGCCCAAACTTAAATGAATTCCAGAGTAAGAAAATGAGATACCATTTCCCTTCCATTTTATTGGCAATAATGGAAAAAAGTCATCAGAAACTGACCAAATCCAGGGACAAAGAGACTTAGGTGTAAAAGCAGTAATAGTGGGGCTGTACATTAGAACTTAATGGAAGGAAAAGTAGTGATATCAGCAAAACATATGGTTACTTTGGGCCACTAATTCTTCTAGAAATCTATTCCAAGGAAGAAATGGGATACTTAAAGTTCACTTACAAAAAAAAACAAAAACAAACCTGTTATTTACAGCATTATTAATAATACTAAATATTTACAACAACCTGAATATCCAAGAAAGGATGCTATTTATATAGATCCTGGTACAAGTTGACAACAGAATCCTACTGGCCTACTTTAAAGGATGGTGTGATGCTACACACCATATGTGGAACTTTCTCTATGGTGTTCAGTTTTTAAAAAAAGCCTTTCTGTAAGCCTGCATGTGTATGCAATGTGTGTGTGAGTGCTGCACGGCTAGGTGACTAGAATGAGCTTCACCAATCCATGGTGCATAGTAGCTCCTTCTGGGTGGTGAGATTTCAGTTAACTTTCTTCATTCCCTTTTTTGTTTTGTTTATCTACATTATTTGAACTTTTACAATGAACATATAATATCTTAAAGAGAAAAAACAATAATTTTTAAAGAACAAAAGGTAACATCTCAAGGGTATATGCATTTCCTGGAAGAGAATGCAGGGCTAAAACCAGAATGATGACTGACCTTGAGAAGGAACACATAGAGGGACTTTAAAACCTGCCTCACAGCCTTGCATGCGCACACACACACACACACACAAAAAGAGTCCTTTCCCAGCCCTGGAAAAGGCAGGAATGCTCAGTGGTTAGGAGCCTGTGCTCCACAGTCGGTATTTGGGATTAAATGTCAGGTCTGTCACTGACCAGGTGGGTGACTTGGAGCAAATAACTTAACCTTCTGTGCCTCAGTTTCCCACTTATAAAACAAGTGACTGATAGCCTCTAAGATTGTCATGAGGATTAAGGAAGAGAATAAATGAGAAACACCTTTTACAATGTCTGGCACATAATCAATGTTCACTAAACATTAGCTCTTGCAGAAACCAGCTTCAGACAATTGTCATCTAAGTGAGTTAACTTTCCCAAAATGAAGCACTAACGAAGAGTTAAGGAGAGAGATAAGGTAAAGGACAATTAGGAAAAGAAATCCACAGCAGAAGTGGTATGGGTACGAGCTGTGTGGTTTCAGGCATGTGACTTAATCTCACCAGTCTGAATGGTTCTTTCTGCGAAATGGGGATCATATGTAGAAGGATGCTTTCAGAATTATCTGTCAAGCTAACACAGAGCTTGATATTAGTCCATTTTCTATTCATATTTGCTACTATTAATAAAAATAATTATTACTGACTATGAGATTAGATAATGAGCTCCCTGTCACTACAGGTTCCTGGCGCTTACCTACAACTTGAAAAGGGTGACGCAGAGAGGACTTAATCAGGGAGTGATTAAGTGGATTACTAGATTCTTCCAGACCTAAAACTTCTGTGCAGCCACTGCAACATGAAATTATTTTAAAAGTGAGGCTTGGGCCTCCCCTGGTGGCGCAGCGGTTGAGCACTGGGCTACCAAGCTGCCCGCAGCCTCTGCAGCGCCGGTTCGACCCCAGTACTGGCAAGGGTCCCACATGGCGCGCAGATCTCTCCTGCTGCCCTCTGCTCCCCTCAGCAGTGTATTTTGTCAGTCTGCCTGTTCTGTTCCCCGCTCTGGCTTTGGTGAATTCTCTCACCCTCCAGTGCTTCTGAATGTACCCAGTGCTTGAATAGATAGATAGATAGATAGATAGATAGATAGATAGATAGATAGATAGATAGATAAGAAAGAAAAATAAAAGTGAGGATTGTTGGGATCATTGTGCAGTGTGAGTCTCTCTAAATGTGTTGGGGTCTTAGTATTTTGTTCTCAAATAGCTGGCATCACCTGTCCTCACACCAAGCAGATCCCAACAGGACAAAGTCATAACCTCACAGGTAAGAACCCAGACTTTGGAATCACAGGCATGTATTCACATCTCAGCACTTCTGCTGAGCACTGACCGACTCTGAGCCTCAGCTTCCTTGTCAGTTCTGTAGGGCACAGGGCTGCATAGGCTCCTTGTAAGGATTGATGTGATCATGCAATCTTGGAAAGCACAGATATTAAGAGTTTAGGCTCTGGGGGTAGATTGCTTAAGTTCAGATTTTACCTCTATCACTAGCTCTGTGTCCCTGAGCAAGTTACTTAACCATTCTGGGCCTTAGTTTCTCTCAACTGTAAAATAGGGCTAAGGATAATATCTACTTCCAGAGGGTTGGAAATGAATGAGTTACAGGTTTAAAAGTGCTTAGAACAGCACCTGGAACATTAGAGTACACTCAGTAAATGAGAGCTGTTATGATTAATGCATGTAAAGTCCTTAGCATGGTAAAAATTAGTGTTCAATAAATGGTAACTGTTATTATTACAAGGTACACTTACCACTGAGAATTTTATGCACATTTATCTTCTGAAAGGCAATTAAAAAATGAAGACATTAGGGGGAAATCTTGTCCTCAGGTAAATGCTACAGTCATAGAAAAGGGGATTCTCACTGGTGTGGCCCTGGCAGAATACTCTAAGACTACCCCCTACCCCACCATACCAAGATTCTCTTTTGCTTCCTAAATACCTGCCCTTCATTCAGTAATACACTCTTTCAACCACACTCATTAAGTACCCACAGTGAGCTGAAAGGAGGCTGGGAATACCCAAGTAGTGAATAAATGACTATGACCTCTTTCCTGCTGGAGCTCACAGGGTAGTGGGGGAGATACTAAATAAATGTACACACAAACGATTACTGAAGGACAGCTTCAATGTGCAAGATGAAGGATGGGGTAAGAATATGTAAGGGGGGCCTAATGTGTTTGAGCATTGGCAGTGTAATGAGGCAGGAGCTATAGGCATGTAAGGAATGCCTGAGTAAGTGGCAAGGAAACTGGGCCTTCAGGGGTGAATAGGAGGTGGCTGGGTGAGGTCTGGGAATGGAAAGAGAGAACCAAGCATGCAAATAGCCATATACCAAGGTCCTGTAGCCACAAGCTGGCCAGCTCACTAGTGGAACAAAAGAAAGGCAGTGGGGTTGACACTTGGCTTAGCCATCCACTCAAAAACTCTCCCCTGCGAGGTGGGAATTTGGAGAGAAAGCCCAGTACATAGGAACTGCCATCTCAATTGTGACTGTGGTTGTTTCCCTTTCAGCCTCTTCTTATCTGCTGGCTAAGACAGCAAGGTCTCAGTCCAACTCCAAGACCCCATGAAGATCGCCAGAAGCTGCAGCCTGGCTCCCTTCGCCCACATGTGAACTTTAGCTAAGACACCATGATGGAGACTCTGCCCTCTATATGCCCTAGATGCTTCAGTCCTGGCCCAGTCACACCCCACTGGGTTTTGTGAGGCAATTTGGGAAATAAATTTCCCTCACTGAAGATAAGGGAAACAGCATGAAAGAAAACAATGGCCCCCAAGGAAGACTTAATGATTGACATAAATGGGGACATTCCCTTAGGAGCATCATGTATCATCAAAGAAGCAAACCCTCAGCTCCTTTATTTTGCTGCCTGTTTACAATCTATGGAAAGATGTGTTTAAGTTTCCTGTAGGTCTAACACTGGGTATTGATGCTTCCGGAAAGAAAGCTGTAGGTTCCAGATGCAGCCAGTTTCTTTTGGAATTCGCTCATTGGGAGTCTGGCACTAGCCCCTAAATGGTACTTTTGTTGTCTTTTTGTTCAAGACAGCAAGTTTCTTCCAGGAAGAAACCGCCTGCTGGCATCCCTTGATAAACAATCCATCAGCCTCTTGGTATATCAGATGTTTAATAATTAGCCTAACTCATTGTTTATCTAAAGAGCAATTATCACTATGATGAAATAATATTTTAAGAGCATTAAGGGTAGATCCTAAGGAGCAACTATAGGCAGGGAATGGCTGGCAGAGTTTCCTGTACTCAGAGGCGAGGACCACTCCATCCTGGCTACCAGATCTCTGTGTCTGAGATGCTACCATTAGATGCTGCTCCAAAGACCTAAGGGAATGTGCCCAGGAGACGTGTACGATTTCAGTCCTTTTAACTGAGGCTCAATGGCCCAGCAAAATATGAAAGTGCGCCCTGTGCTTCTAAAGCGCAACAGCCTAGAGTCAGTGGAGTTTGTGAAGCCACCTCACCACCGCAGGTGCAAATCTCAGCAGGTGCGATTCAAGGAAGATGGGGCCAATAAGACTTCGCCTGGCCTAGTTGAGGTTGATGTCCAAACTTCTGCCGACCCGACTGTGATGGACAAGACTCCAGCACCCAGGCACCATCACCTCCCCACCTACTCGCTCTCCTTTCCCAGGTCCCAGAAGGCAGGGGGTTTTCGGAGCATTGCCATCCAAACCTCCCCCAGTCTCAGGAAGCATTTCCCAGTTTTCAAAAGGAAGAGACTCACAGCCAGCAAGTCCCTGGTAGAAATGCCAACAGCATCCCAAAGTGCCATCCAGGTCAACGGCAACCTCTCCGAACAGGACATTGTGTCTTCTGACCTTGCTTACTTAAGGTTGGCTCAGCATCTGGAGGATGGGCCTCGAAGGGTCAAGGTGCCCCACCCATTTCTCCCTAGAATGTCCAAGGTGCAAAGCAATGGTCCAGTTAGCATATGCTTGGAAGCGGGGATGTGGAGAGCCTCAGAAAAGGCAACAGCTGCCATTCAGGTCCCAGATGATATTTATCACAGTCCTACCTGGGCAGTTGGAGAGTCCACTGTCAGCCCAGAGAGGTGTACTGAAATAAACAACTCCATACCCGCTTTGGTTGATATGTGTCCAGGTGATGGGAGAAGAGTGGTGTCATCAGATTCAGAAAGATTGTCCTCCTGCTTAAATGCCACCAGCGGTGCCGACCACATGCCAGGCACAGGGAAACTTACACCTGAATTGCTTTTGCCCAAAGATGACTCTGATAACAAGGACCTTGGCTCACTGTCATCCCAGTCAAAGGAAATGTGTGTTCCTTCACCTCCACGGACTCACAGCTGCCCCTCACCAGACTCCCACAGCCAGCCAGCCCACTCAGGGGGTGCTTCAGATTGTCCTTCATCGAGTAACAGTCACCAGGACCTGCTGTCACCAAAACCTGACAGTGCATCAAAATCTGCCCCCTTGTGTCAGGAGCAGATGGTGAAGAACCCCACCCAATCTGACACCCCAGAGATTCGAAATTGTCCAGGAAGCAATCACCTCCCATCCTCTCTCCCAAAGATGGAGACCAAACTTCAGAGCAACAGGGAGATCGGGGGGATTCATCAGATTCACCTGGCACAGGGTGAACTCTGCGACCTCCAAGGCAGGCTACAATCTGTGGAGGAATCTTTACACTCCAACCAAGAGAAAATTAAAGTCCTTTTGAATGTAATTCAAGACTTGGAGAAAGCTCGAGCTCTGACAGAAGGGTAAGGTGGTGTATATATACATACTGTAAACATTATGTATATGTATAAGTGTGTGTATACACACACACACACACACATGCATACATATACATATTGTAAGCACTGTTGGGTTGAGTCATTTGTCAGAGCAGGACAGAGAGAGCATGGATTTCTGTTAGTAAAATTTCTCCAAAATATTTGAGGTTCTGATGTTTCCCCACATCATAAGCAGACCTGACTGGGTTCCATTTTCTTCTCAGCTTTGATGGGTTACCATGACTATTTGTTTTTGTTTCCTGATGCCAAGTGGGAAATGAAGCAACAGGTCAAACATGATTTTTATTAATATGGGGGTCCCATTGACAAATGATGGGGGAAAATGATAGCATGCAGGTACTTCCCCTACCCCAATTCTCACGGCAAGTTACAGCATTTGCACAGTATTTCAGCTATGGCTATGTGTCAAAGGATTCGAGGTGGTCACAGCGCTTACAACTGGCCTTTCCCCACTGCTGACTACTTTGATGATTTGGGCCAGTCCATCATTCATCAACTAAACAGGAAATGAAGTGGCATTACAATAAAAAATCTCCAAAGAATGTCATAAAAAACACATTCTTGAGTGACTTGTCACCAATCTGGGAGGGAAGAAAGTTATTTGTTTGGGTGGAGAATGTTTGCCCCTTGAAAATGTGCTCCTCAAAGCTGAGAAGAATGGATGGCTAAAGCTAATAAAAAAAAAAGGGTAAGAGAAGGAGGAATTAACTCCCATTTGCTGATATGAAACAGAGTCAACATTGCCTCATAAGAGAGAAGCACCATGATGATACTCAGATATACGCATTGCACTAAGAGGTCAATAATTTTAACAATCTCCCTTCTGCTCATTTACAAAGTCCCTGTTTCTCCATTTATCACGTGGAGGTAAGAATAACTGACTCATTTCACAAGACTATTATTAGCATTAAAAACCCTCAGATTTGAAAATGCTTAAACCTTTATAGAAATGTGAGGGTCTAAGAACATGGGCTTCTTGTTTCTTTATTTGTAACAGTCACAGAGCTTCAGAGTGTTGCTACCAACAAGAAGTGCAATACTGAGCTATAGGAACAAGCAGAATGCATGCATCTCATGGGGCTTTTCACATGAATTTACCCAGCGAATGCTCTATTTTGCAGGCGCAACTTTTATCGAACTGGCCAAGATCTCAACAATTGCAGCACCTGCCAGAACACGGCATGCATCATATACAGGTACTTGGCCTCAACTGAGGCATTGTAGAGCATGGAATTTGCAGGGTCCACAAGACATTCCCATAAACTCCCTTAGATGCAGAAAGTCAAGAGGAAGGCAAACATAGGAGGTTGTTGAAGCCTGGGCTTAAAAAACAAGGTATTTAACTTTGAAATGTGAACATCTGGTTTCAACACAGGCTTTACTTTGTTTCCTTGCAATAAGATCTATGAGCAAATCCTTTTGAGGTAATCATCCCTACACTTTATTGAACATTAAATGCAGGCACAGTGCTCTGTCTGCATGAACATCTGTATCTCACTTCACCATTATACCTTGTGAAGTAATGTTAATATCCTGGGGTGTTAAGGCCTGGCACATAAAAAAAAATATTTTCAGAGACCAGAAGGGGCAAGACTCAGGACTCCAATCCAGTTCTTTCTGATCCCAAACCTTGTGACTTTGATTTTTCTAACACATTGCCTTTTCCTCAACAGTAGCAATCACATGCTCAGCAGGTACATTATGTCAAGAACTGTGTTAAGCACTTTTTGTTTATTCTAGGTACATCATTTCCTTCCAGCAGGGGATAAACTTGTGGCAATAAAGTGCATTTTTATAAGAAATAGAAGGAAAACATCATAGGATGGTGAAAGCACTAAACTTGGAGTCAAAATCCCCAAGTCTGATGTTCGCTGATTTGTTTAGGGCTCAGTTTTCTCATCTGCAGTATGAGGATCCCATCAGAGCTGACATGTGGGCCAAAAAGTGTAATATATGTGCATGCCTCTAGCAACTGAAAACCTCTGTGTAAATCCAAGGACCTATTACTGTTATTGCTGGGAAAATGAGTGCCTCCTTATTTGAAAGGCCACTTTCAGAAGCATGGTGGAAAAACATCAAAAGAGTCACTTCAGTGGATGGCATCTAATTTTACTTGATAAAAGTGTATAGTTTTGCTTTCTCTATTACTTTTCTCTCTCAGATAAGAAAGCAGCTCAAGACTTCAGCAAACTGAAACCTAATTGGGTTGCCTGAGTCTTTAAAAAAAAATTCATTCTCTCTGGCAGAATCTGAAATTTCATTCTAACAAGGGATGAGGGTTCTGGAAGTCAAGAATCCCCATACTTAGACCCCTCTACTTCAGTATTTTCTCATTGAACTGCCAATTCCTCAAAGCTAGGAGCCACAGGACAAGATATTTTTATGAAATAACGCAATTTTCAGACTGCTCACAGAAAATGTCCTTTAGAAAGGGGCCCCTGGAAAAGTAGTCAGTCTTATCAATTACTTTCCTTTTTTGCTCCTTCTTTTACTTACATCTCATATGTTAAAGAAATGTCCTAGTTATCAGAACAAGAATTATTGACTGTCTAGATAGGTAGGGAGGGCAAAAAACCACTATCCATCATAAACAAGAATTATTTTTAACTAACCTCCATTTAAATTGTAGACAGGCTCTTCAGCAGCCAAATGATGTATTTTCTATTTAAGATGACTTTTTATTTAGACGATGCAAGTGAAAAGGATAAGTGCTTATTTTTTAGTCTACTGGGAGTTTCAGGGCCTGGCTTTGGGCAAATCATTTTTGGCCTCTGAGTTTCTTCATCTGAAAAATGAGGTCTTTAATTAGATGGTCCCTAGGGCCCTTTCCAGTTCTGATGTTCTTATGCTCCACACTGAATTAAAAGGAGCAATATTTGACTAAACTATGACCTTCCAATAAGACTGAAGATGTTTGCATTTTCCTAGTACTTAGTTCAAACATCCCAAGCAAACATTCTAAATTAAGTCACACCCCTGGCTGGGTTAGCAAACCTACATGCACACATCCTTCCCAGCTTTCCAAGAACAGGCAGTGTATGCATCCATCCCTCATTACCATTCAAAACCAGACTGTTCTCTCAGACAGTATCTATATCCTTGTGTCTAAGCCATTGTGAAGGAATAGGCAATTAATTTGATGAAAGCAAAGAGATCAGCACAACATCCCCATCATTGTAACAGTGGGAAGATGAGAGTTGTCATTTTTTTTTTCAACATTTCAAATGACTTCAAACCCTATGTTGTGTCCTGGAAAGTCAGATCTTACAAACTAATGAATAATTGATGTGAAATACTCATCCTCAGGCCTTGTTGAGCTTTGGTCTCACTCCCTGATGATGGATGGACGCAGTGCACGTCACTGTTTATAAAGTACACGGGCTACTGATGGATTGCCTGCTGGGTCTTCTTCTCTGGAGATGTTGCTGTTAGGTTAGTAGCACATAAGTTTTGCTAAGTGGCCACTTGAGACAAAGACTGTGACCATTACTTGCTTTCATGTTACTTGCTCCCACCAAGACATGTAGGACTATTGGTTCTATACGACTCATTCTTTCTGCTTTAAGAGGAACCTTCAGCCTGACCCCCCACCTTCAAACTCCTTGGCTTTCTTCTTACCATAGATCACTTTGGCAGATCCCATATCACCAAGGAGCAAGCACCAATAGTAATGCCAAAAGATTCCATGCATTCTATACAGCAGGGAGAATGGCCTCCTTTGAATTTTGATAGTTGCAGGCTCCAGGGGAAGATGATGGGCAGGGGAGCCATGCCTCGGGCTGGTTCCAGTCTGTGCATTCCCCAGTTACTCTCCTTACCCCTCCTTACTATTAATTCTAGGGCAATCTTTAAAGTGTTGGGCGAATGTCACTTGTAGTACCCAAGATTAAATAACATGGAATTACCTTGTGAGAAAGTTGTTCTCTTTTCAAATTTATTTCAAGCCTTCTTCCCCGGTGGGGAAAATCTGAGATGGGAGATAGAATGTCTGCAAAACCTTTCTAATACTTGCTTATCACACTTCTTTGCCTGGAGAGAGCAGGTATCAGGTTCATAGCCATAGGAAAGCAACAGTATCTAGCCAGAATGCAATGGTTTTTTAATGAAAACTTATTACTTTGAAGATGAGGCACCCCCCCACCCAAGTATTCATTGTAAATGATGCTGCTCTCCATTGTCAAAAGTGATATTGCCTATTTGGTATAAATGTTTTTGCTTGAAAAGTTAATTAAGTTAGAGAGCAAAAAATATAATAATTATGCAAAACCCATGAAGATGGTGAAGTTTGGGAAATGACACCCGAGGGAATGTGCTGCCTTTCCTCTGCTCAAGGGCATGCGGCCTCCTGGAGCCACAGCCTGCTCCCTCCCGCTCCCAGTTCTCTGCTCCTCCAGCCATGTCTCCAGCTCTTCATCTTCACCTTCACTCTAAAAATAGTCCCAGCACTTCTTTGGAGGACTTGGACTACAATGATCATGCATTTATTTCTGGACGTGACTCCTCCCAGGAAAAATCTGTTTGGTTTAAGTTGTGAAATGCTTCAAATGTTTGAAGGAAAAAAATTGGAAGTCTTTCTTGGCAAAATTTTCTTCTACTATCTAAGCATGTTGCTTAGGAAACTGGAAATAAAGAGCAGGCAAGAATTAAAATTTTTTTCAATGGGTTGAAGGGAAAGTTTAACCATGTGAGATTTGAAAAGTACTAGGGAGAGAAATGGAAGAGCTATTTTTAGCCAGGGGTCTACCTTAATATCTATTCAGGCTTAAATTGCGCTCATGGATTTTAGGTTTATTACTGTGAGTCTACCTTCTCTACCTCTTTCATGGTCTCTTCTCTCTCTCTCTCTCTCTCTCTCTCTCTGTCTGTCTCTCTCTCTTCTTCTCTCTATCCCTCTCTCGCTCTCTCTTCAGTATATAACAGCAGCTTCAGAAAAATGCCCTTTATCTCAGTGTTGAACAAGCCCCAGTATCAAACATTTAACTGTGTGTGTTTAAACTAACTATAGCTACTTATATTTTGATATCTCAAATTTACCATATACCAAAACACACTCATTATTTCCCCTCACAAAATTCTCTTTCCATATTTCATCTGTTGTTCAACAGCATTAACCATGACTCCATAAAGAAATCATAGCTCCATCACCTGACTCATCTTCTTCACAACACACATCAAAAATTGGCTACAATTCTACCTAATAGATCCAGCCTCTTAGCTCTAGCCCCCTGTCTCTGGCTGGTAAAGGCCCTTATCACTTGTCACTTGAACTCTAACTGGTCCTTTTGCCATAGCTTGCTTTGGTCCCATCCCAAATAAGCCTTCGCAAAGATTGCCAAATTTCCCGAAAAGTAGAATCTGACTATGTCAGTCATCTACCAAACAATTCTGTCCTGCTTCTTGTCATTTCCTAGCTAGGTTTATAAGATTTTTTAATGCCAATCTTCTTAGCTTTTGTTTTCTCATTTCTCTTTAGTCTCATAGCTGACTTCAAACACCTGTGTTGTATTGGGCCTGGGTGCCTCAGCTCCTGGAATGCCTTCACTGCCCTACTTTGGATGATTCCTGCTCTTGAGCTTAAATCCAGTTCTTCTGAGAGCCTTGTATGTCTCTCGGAGGAGGCCTGCCAGGCATTATTTGTCTCTCTATGCCTGTTATCCTGTTGCATCAGAATACAGTGTTCATGAATTTCTTTCCTTCAGCAAATAGCCAGGGCCTCCAAGTCTTGGGCCAGGGTATAATACATAGTTTCTTTTCCCCATAGATTCTCATCAAAGAAGGGGATGCTTATATTGCCCAAGGGAAGAATAAAAAAATAGTAGTGGGCTTGAGATTGCAAATTCATTGTTATCCTGTGTAACAATGGGGACAGATATGGAGGGTCTAAGTCAAACATGTTCTTATTAGAGAGAGGGATTTTCTAGGTAGCAGATCCTCCTTAGATTTTTTTTTTTAACTGCATCAAACAATAACTGAAGGTTGTACATGGATTGTCAGTTTTCAAATACCTGGAACACTACATATTTTCAACAAGATAGAAACTAATCAAATCTTCCTTTGATGACTCACAGAGCTTGTTGCAATTTCACAGGACATTGAGATCCTTGTTCACGTGGCCATCCAACATTATTACCCAGCATTTCTGAGCAAAGAAGTAGTAGGAAAGGCAACTTTTGACTTGTGGAAAACCATAAAATCC